TTCCGCCCAGGACGTGGCTGTATAGACCACATATTCACTCTGCGGCAGGTGCTAGAGCAGCGCCACGCATACCGCAGACCGACAATAGCTGTGTTCCTCGATTTCAAGAGTGCGTTCGATTCAGTCGATCGATGCATTCTGTTCGAAATACTTGCGCGGAAAGGTGTTCCCATGAAATATGTGAACATTTTACGTGCCCTGTACTCGAACACTACAGGCCGCGTCAGGGTCTACGGTGACCTGTCGGATAGCTTTCCGACAACAAGTGGCGTTCGTCAGGATTGTCCAATTTTCCCATTTTTGTTCAATTTCGTCGTGGACTCCATCATGGAGTGTTCTTTCGCGGAATCTTACGATGCAGGCGTTGAGGTGCTGCCTGGTGATAGACTAGTTTATCTTGATTATGCGGACGGTATCGCCTTGCTGTTTAACGATGTTGGGGCGGCCCAATCAACCCTGATTAGCTTCTCTAGAGTGGTCTCATTAGTTGGTATGCGCTTCGCACCTTCAAGGTAAAATATTTGCCTCCACAATCCTGCAGAGTTGTAGACAACATGGCATTAGCGACACCTGACGGGACGGGGAGACACACGTGGGAGCATCTCGATCTGGGATACTCCATGCTACCATGCAGCCTGACTGAAATTCAAGAACCAAAGACCCACACAAAAGACGATTAGCGGCCGACCGACGAACGGTTGGCTTAAAACTAAACACGAATTTGTTGTCCACCTACACACTTCTAACATCAAAAACACTATCATATTTGTATACTAACGCCCAAGGTCTTCTTAGTAAGTTGGCCGAAGTTAGAGAACGCCAGGCGTCACAACCGCGGGATCTCATTATGATTACGGAGACGTGGTTAAGCCTTGAGATTGCAGATTCTGAAGTCAATTTACCTCGTATGTCACTGCTTCAGAATGAGAGCTGGTGGCGTCATTCTGTATTACAAGGCTAATCTCCGATGTGAACTTATTGACCACCTAGAGATCCGTGCCCCAGATTCGCTTTGGTGTCCGCTATGGTTACGGAACAAAGACACATGTCTTATAGCTGTGATTTACCGTCCACCAACTCTACGTGTGAAATGGACTCCAAACTAAACCACGTTCTACAGGTAGATTTGAGCAAGACATACAGTCACATTCTCATCGTAGGCGACTTTATTGTGCACGATCTGGAAATAGCGGCGACCGATAGCATGTAGTTCAAAGCCTGTTTACAAGAGCTAATTTCCAGCTACCCTCTGTACAACCGCGTGACCACTCCCACCAGAATTCGAACTGCTAACAAGCCGTCGATACTTGATCTTGTGTTCACCAACGAAGAACTCATGGTAGACAGAATAATTACAAGCACACCACTGAGTCGCAGTGACTATGTGACTCTATGTATGTTATGCGGAATATCCTGGGGAAGAGGACGAGAAAATATATACGGTCACGCTCTACAACATGCTATCCGCGCTTGTTAAGGAGGTATCTTGGACCTTCTTAACGGAAAGCCCCGCAGAAATCGCCTGGGACACTTTTACAAGGACATTCACTACACTGGTTACGCACGCGTCTGAGCAGAAATCCTTCCATCGTCAAAGGAGAAGGAAGTCATTTCTGAGGAGCAGAACACGCAAATGCATGTCCTTGTGGGACTTAGCATGGAGAGCTCACAAGGACTCCCCGAATTCCGAAACCTGGACTGCCTGTGGCACAGCGTAACTTCTTTGTGAGTTTGATTCACGAGGACTAGCTGACGCAACAGCAGGAGTTAATGAAGAGATTCTGCAAAAAACGCAAACTCTTATACAGGCATGTTAATGGCCTTCGTAATGTACAACGCGGAATTCCAGCACTGATCACGATTGACGGATGTACACGATCAGCAACGGAAGCAGTCGATCTCTTACGGTTCCATTATTCACAAACCTTCCAGAGAGTAACAGGCGCAACGGTTCTCCATGTTTCTATTGTCCCACCATCACCTTCCGACGCAATTGAGGTGGAGTGCGGCGTACCCCAAGGATCGGTGCTCGGGCCCCGTCTATTCTTGATTTTCATGAACGATTTGGTGAGGGAAATTACTTCCGCTTTCCTACACTTCGCGGGTGATATCAAGTTATGGCGAGCGATCAAAGAACCGAACGACCACGAAAAGCTTCAGCGTGACCTCAACACGATTTCAACCTGGTCAGTTTTGAATACCCTACTGTTTAATGTGGGAAAATGTCACGCTTTTCGATTGCGCCATAGACGTGACCACGTTTATAGGCTTGGGTCACATGTACTGCAAACCACTTCCCAAGAACGCGATCTTGGTGTGCTCGTTCAAAGTGACCTTAACTGTTCAAAACAGAGGCAGCTGCGAAGAGAGCAAACTATCACGTCGGCTTGCTGCGGAGAGCATTCGGAAGATTTAACCCATCCATCTTCCCCATGCTGCACAATTCTTACGTGAGCCCTCACGTTGGATACGCCATCCAAGCTTGGCAACCTAGTTTAAGCGCGACTTAGAAGTACTGGAGAAACCCCAACGCATGGCCACAAAGAACGTCAAGGGCCTACGAAATCTGTCCTACTATCAAAGGCTGAAGTCACTGGGGGATTTCAGTGACCGCTACCGAAGGCTGCGCAGCGATCTCATATTAGTCTACCAAATATTGAGTGACCCTTTATCACGTATGCCGTCACTTGCTGAAACAGCCATAACACCAATCTCAGAGGTAACCCTCTGAAATTGTGTGCACAGCTTAGCTGCCTGGAACGCCGGCGGAATTATTTTTCTCTTCCAATTTGCCAACCCTGGAACTCTCTCCCAAACTTCGTTGTTTCCTCCCCCACCTTGGATATTTTCAAAAAATGATCGGATCTTGCCCTTGGCCCCCATCACTTCGTCGCCTAAACTGTGCAACTTTGGAATATATTAATTATCCCTCCAACCCGGATTAGCATGTTATGTAAACCTGAGGATGCGGGACAGAAGTGAGTATTCTTGTTTTTACTTTTCACATACCTAAACTATAACCGTCCCCATGTTGCCACATCGTTCACATTCAATTTCCACTTACACTACTATTATTCAGCAGCGTATCTGCTAGATAAACGCTCAAACAGACAACTCACCTATCGTTTGATAATTGTAGTTTTACCCCCACCATCCTGCGGGACTTGTCAAGCAACTGCTTTTTTACCCGACATAAATCATTGTTCATTGTTTAAAGTGTTGCTGCAGGACCACCAGCCACTTGATAATCCCTCGACCCTAGATAGCGAGAAACTGGAAGTAGTTGATCAAATTACTTGCATTTGCAACGATGGGCGCATAGCAACTGGTCGGTTCACCTATTTCAATAGCCAGAACTGCCTTTTTGTATCTGCGACATCATTGGTGACATAAAGGGGTTTCCCTCCGTTTGAACGGCCGTGTTTACAAGGCCACAGTGAGGGCTGTCCGACTCTATGGGAGTGAGCCTTGACCCCTTTGGTATGAAGATCTGAGGCGCCTTCAAGTCTTTGATCATCGCTGTCTGCGGAGCGTTGCTTGTGTCGGGGGCACGAGCATATCCGCAGCGATGATGTGCTAGGCAACGATACCCAAGCTAGTTCTTTAGAATAACAGATAGCACGTATGCCTGGCCATCGCTTACCGAGAAGAGCCTTATTTTGTGTGCCAGATGTAGGGTGGCTTAAGGCTCGGGGTGGACAAAAGTTGACTTGGCAGCGGGAAATGTAGCCACTGACAACCAAACTTGGTGCGTTCGGTGCGTCTCGCATTCCAGGCTGGAGTCCATGTGACTCGCTTTGTGCTTAGCTCGTTACATGGCTCGCTGTCGTCATCAGTGGCGCATCTGCTGTCGTCTCCAAGTCGGAGTGCCTGTTTAAAGCGTGTTTGGCGCTGATTTATCTGCGGGGTTATGGCTGATTATTATGCGGGACAGTGAAAGCCGCAGGAAAGTTGTCTCGCCGATATCGCTTTATCTTTGCACGATAGCCAGCTGTTCGTGATGGCATGTTGACAAGGTGTAGGCGCTGCGACCCCTGGTGTTTGTTTAGGGCATTAAGGTTTTCCCTCTTATTATTCTTCGTTCCGTAGGTCTTTATGGTTGTATGGCAGCGATGCATCAGCACAAACGGATGATGTACTGCTGTTGATGACGATGATTTGTATGCAACTATTTCAATCTCACAACCCAACTTCTTTATGCCACCACTCTATCGCTTCACCACTGCGCATCTAGTTTTATTTGGTCCATTTATATAGTGTTCGTCATAAACCATTGTTCCAATACTTCTTGGTTTTGTGTAGCCTTCGTACTCTTCGATTACCATGGTCTACAATGCTACAAGCGTCCCATGGTCTGTCATGTATAAGCAGTTGGGGACACAAAATATGGAATTTCATCGTCGTCAACGACCGGAACGTGGCCATAAACATAATATATGCGATAAGAGTGCGATTCCAGTGAACTGAATCGTATGTTGGTTGGTTTGGATAATGACAAAGATCATCCAAAGGCAATGAGGTGTGTGTGGCAAATATCATCGGAGACGAGGGGAATTGAGCAGATTCCCCAAGCGGTATTCATTCGACGATACCGGAATGGTTGTTCTCTCAAGGCTGCTTTTAGTGTGGGTTTAAGTATCCTACCCTGAAGACAAAGTAAGGCTACGTTACTAACTGAGCACAAAACAAGATTACAGTGTACTAACAGACTTTGTGATAAGTGTAGATGTTAACAAAAGCTACCTCGGGCTGCGCTAACATTGTGGGTACAAATCGGGATGAACATAAGGAGTTATATCTGGAAACAAAAAGATAGATAGATGCCGTCTACCCAGTTAGTGACCTTTGAATTAAAAACTTTACGGATACTAGGAAACAAGTGATGTTAGGTGAATGGGAAGACAAGGGTGGTGCTATGGTGTTACAGAATCGCCTTGGTCCGGCACAATCTACTAACTGAATACGTTTGAGAAAGTTTGGGTGGTAAAACAGTATTACTCACCTCAGCCGTGGGCCATGCATAGTTAATGTCACCACGCAGGTGTTTAGAGCTCATAACGCAATAAGCTCCACCGTAAGATTTGCGGGTGGTGACTGTGAGTTTTGGCACGGTGGCCTCAGCGTATGCGAAGATCAACTTTGCACCGTGTCTGATGATTCCGCCGTATTCTTGGTTTGTGCCAGGTAAGAACCCGGGCACATCGACAAACGTAACAAGCGGGATGTTGAAGGCATCGCAGAATCGCACGAAGCGGGCGCCCTTAACAGAAGCGTTGATGTCCAAACAGCCCGCGGAAAATCGGGGTTGATTAGCAACGATTCCTACAGTACGGCCACCCAAGCGAGCGAATCCGACTATGATATTTTTCGCATAATTTGGCATGATTTCGAAGAATTCTCGCTCATCGACAGTATTCTGGAGGAACAACGAGGTGAATGCTGTGTGTATGTCCCCATGAATGGCTATCAGGAATTATAAACCAATTGCAAGTTAAAATAAAAAGTGGGTATCTATAACGCGCCTTTTTCTGCATTTCTCATAAGGTGGATAACAGTGTTGCTTGCATTGCATTTGTTCGATGGCACTTAATGGGATGCTCAGAGATCTTGAAAGATAGTGCGGTAACACAACTTGTTACACAAATTAAAGCGGACTAAGTTTGAACTGTATGAACTAACTAACGCCTAGACAAGAAGTCGAATTCAAGAAGACGGCAACTACAATGAGAAGGTGATACAGACGCCGCTTTAAGCTTCCGCAATACTCTTCTATGTTTGAAATAATTTGAAACATTGGTAGACCGGGTTGATTGTTCAGCTGTTGATTTGTTCGCCAAGCCTGATAAGATGGTTGCATGCATTTCAACACCATACAAGGTTGCGCGCAATCTTGCTGAGTGAATCGTCCATCCGTGATCGACGAGCAATTAACTTTTGAAAACGGTATCTTCAATTCGCGCTCCGTGATCTTTGCCTATTTTCTAATACGGAAGAAGCGGACATTCTAGTTGTTCGTCGCGTATCTCGTCTCGAAACTTGCCTTTCGATTCGTCGAAGGTCTTTCTGAGTTCTTGGTATATGGAGTCAATCTCAATACTCAGGTTGATCAAATTACTAGAGGAGAACCAGGCTTCGAGGAACTACCTTTCTTTCTGTGCCACTTCTCAAGGTAGAATCTCCGTTTTTCTCTAGTCGAACCTATGTCCCTCTTCATTCAAGTGCACTGAGACCGGTCACGATGCATAATGATTTTGCAGGACCTTTGTTATCTTTGTATCCTTGCTGAGAATTCCCCTCATGTTCGCCCTACATTGTTCTTGTCACGATAATCGTAATGTATTTTGTACGCGACGTTTATTCGTTCTTGTGCTTCCCGCTTACCCTTTGGGTTTGGCAGTGTTTTTTTCAAATTGGCCGTTTGCTTGTGGGTAACCGTGATGTGGTGTTGTGTGAACAGTTTAGCTGTCATTTCTGATTAGTTCTTCGTATGTGGCAATACGATCCACTTTCTTACTCTTGGTATTGGCTCGGTGTTTGTGGGTTTGTGGTTCAGGCATCTGCAGATGAAGATACGTGGCTATACGCTGTGCTTATTAAGGGTAAATAGTGGGATAGATCTCTCATGGACAGATCGTAGAACACATTTTGAAATTAGTTGTTGATATGCGATTTTTTCAGTTGCGAACGACACCTCTTACACGTTTTAGTCATTTGATTTTAGCTATCTGTGACCTCAACACATATGGATGTTATCACTAATATATATATATATATATATATATATATATATATATATATATATATATATATATATATAGTCGTAAAGCCTATACCGAAAGGTGGTAACCCAAGTAAAGTGGATAACTACCGGCCGATCTGCCTGACTGCTGTTTTGGCAAAGACGCTCGAGAAGATCGTGAAGAAGACACCTTCTGCAGCTTCTCGAGTCGAAAAACCTGTTGACCTCCGCACAGCATGGTTTCATGAAAGGTCGCTCGTGCATCACTAACCTACTGTTGACAAGGCACGAGTGGTTACAAGCGATGAACCAAGGCCATTCAGTCGATGTCATTTACATTGACTTCAGTAAGGCTTTTGACAAGGTCAACCATGCAATGCTCCTTGACAGGCTGAGGATGTACGGTGTTGGTGGTTCGCTATACAAATGGATCAGAAATTTCCTTGTGAATCGGAAGTGGAGAGTCCAGGTGGACAACCATCTAACGGACTGGTATCCATCGAGCAGCGCCGTGCCCCAAGGCACTGTACTGGGGCCGATATTGTTTCTGATCCATATAAACAATGTGCCTAAGCTACTCCAATCACCATGTGCGTTGTTCGCAGATGACTTGAAGGTGTGGGGAGTAATCCGCACACTCAATGATTGTGATTTACTTCAGCAGGATCTCGACAGCCTCTCAACATGGTCTGCAGCGGTTAACCTTCCGATCAACCCTACTAAGTCGCAATTCATGAGGTTGGGTAAGTGTGAGCACAGCCGAACGTACACAGTGGCTGGTTAACCGCTGCATCCCGCGTCTTTCGTGTGCGACCTCGGTATGCTCTCACGCTGCGACCTAAAGTCCATTGATAACACGAATAGGCTGTACCAAAACAGCCTTCGGATGCTTTGGGCGCTCAGGCGCAGCTTCAGCACTTGGTCCGAAGAGATTGCCACTCGCCTCTTCGTCTCGATAATACGACAAATGCTAGAGTACGGCTCTCCCGCATATTGTCCCATCACGCTGGGCGAGGTAGAAAAGCTTGGGCGAGTGCAGCATGTAGCCACCAGGCTGATTCCCAACTTACGAGGTATGCCATATGAAGACCGATGTAAGAAACTAGGGCTGTACACCCTAGCATATTATTGGCTGAGGGTTGACCTCATCATGACGCACCGGATGTTACATCTGAGTGATTACCCCATGTTGAGACAACTGCTTCATCTGCGTACACCAAGCAGCACGCGAGGACACCGGTACAAACTTATCGTACTGCAGTTGAAGCGGGTAGCTCACCAACTCTGTTTCGAACGTAGAGTGGTGAACACCTGGAACAACCTGCCGCAGCCGGTAATAGAGGCGAATTCAGTGGCCGAATTTAAGAAGCTTCTAGACAAACACATTGCAGAGGCAAAATATAAAGAGCGGAACGCTAATTAATACGTTAATGTCCAAGAGCGACAATTGATGCAGCCACACAGAGTATGCTCTACTCGCTGCTTCTAATCAGTATCAGTATCAGTTAGCTAGAGGTACGAAAAACTCTAGATATTGCGCCGCAGTAACAATAAATCGCCAGCTGTACGCCGTAACGACGCTTCGCTACCACGCGACAACCACCAGTCGCGCGCGGGCTGAGTATACCGCGAAGACGCCCACCCCTACGCGGATTCGACCTGGTGACCTTATGGTTGGAAACCAGGAGAGCAGGCCACTCGGCCGAATTGTGACGCAGTAGCAAAGGGTATGTGAAAAAGCGCAATGCAAACATTATAGGGTACAAAACACAAACATCATAGTTGGAGGGGGAATCGAAAGGGAAAGAGAATGGACATAGAAACGCACACCAAAAACGCCACTGCGGTTAGCTATTCGCCATGTCTACTATTGTGTCCAATCTGACGTGTTCATGGTCATTGTGACCCAAGTCTGGCAGTCGGGAGGCACCAACCGATGCTTACTTTCTAATTGAGGGTTTTCATTCCTCTTGACAAAGTCATCGTTTGGCTTCTACACTTCCAACCAGACCCCCGTCGCGCAAACAACGCAATTCGCAGGAGTCGGTGTGTTGCTGTGCACTACACGTGGTCCAGCCTATCGGAGTCTGGTGCATGATATAACAGTCCGAGCGACTCACTCCGTCTTCCTGCACTAAGGAGGAGACACCAAACACACTAGCTGAACACACGGTGTTCCCACTAGACTAGCTAAACGGGAAAAGCAGCGATCGTCGGGCTGATGAACCTACTATTGCAGCCGTCCAGGAGGGTTGAACAGGTGCCTGTATTTTAACTCTGCCCCTCAAGTGTAAATTGACGTGCCAGCGCCACATGTGGCGAAGATTGGCAAAAGCGCCTCGAAATTTTGTTCTACAGTTCGTGACCTCATCAACTATATTGCAAACGCTAAAATAGCTGCCTAGGTACTTAACTTTCAAAACGACTTCTACTTGATTACCACCAAGAGTGTGTGCGGAGGTGGATCCCTTTCAGTCCAAGACTTCATCAATAACGAAGTTAAAGAGGAAAGGTGACAGCGGGCAATCTTGTCTCACATCACTGGAGACACTGAAGGGCGGCGACAGTTTGCCATAAGCCCTCAGTCTGCCTGAACTATGCGCGTACAGCGCTCTGATAATGTTTACGTATTTCTCGTGAACACCATTCCTAAGCAGACAGTGCCAAAGGAAACATTGATCAACCAAATCGAAGGCATCTTTGGCGTTGAGAACAGCACAACAGTGGGTCGCAAGCAATTATGGCGGTGATCAAGCAATGGACGCAAAGTTAAGATGTGATCAACACAACCGTGACTTCGACGAAAACTGGCTTGCTCCTCGCGAATCTGAGTTTCACGAGTACCAGTCAGTCTATGGAGAAAGACGGAGGCAAGCAGCTTAGAAGCAGTAGAAGTCTGACTGATCTCACTATGATTACTGCATTCTGAACATGGACGTCCTTTGAAAATTAGGACTATGGCGTTGCGGCTCCAGTCTGTTTTGGTCGTCTCCTGCACCCACAAGAGCTGGTGTCCCGAATTTGAATAAATCTTAAGGCAGTCCATCTGCTCCCGCGGCTGTATTCAATTTCAATAGTCTGATCTCACGTTCGACTTCTGCGCGCGAAAACGGATCCAAGGGGATGGCCTAGGGAGCAAGGCGGTCACTAACCGGTAGCCAGTCTAGTAGTTCCGGCTGATCAAATTGCTTTGTACTGTTCAGTCCAACACTCCATACATTTTGATATGCTGTGTACAGGTTGTCCGTTTCCCGTAAGAGACTAAATTACGATGGTTACCAAGTGAAGCAGCGATTTCTATGTCCGACTCACGGTAAGACCATCAGACTTCACGGTCTCTCTTAAGGCTAGCACGCATTGTCGCCCTAAAATCCTTGTGTCTCGCAGTGCTCGCTCCTAGCCGTAACGCGTCTACGAGCATCGAGGAGTTCCAGTGATTTCGTAGATCTAATGTCTAGGTTGGTAATTTGATTTGCCACATGAAGATATGCCTTTTGCTATTAGTAGTCTTAAGTGGGCGCTTACCCAGCCCGGATGCCACCGCAGTTTGATATACATTCAGAACATATGGCTTCACCAGTTAGTGATTGCCTATACACGGAGAGTGTCACCGCGGGCGTCCGCCGAAACGGCACATACAAGTGCGTGGTTGGAGTCCACGCTCGTGCTCCAAATCGGGCGACAGTTTTGGATATAGCCTCTCTAGCGGTAACTAATCGCGATGTGATCTATTTGCGTCAAAACCTGGTTCGAAGTTTGTGGGTGCCATGTCACTCTTCTGCGGGTGCTGAGTCGAGAGCTAGTGCTCGCGTGAAAGAGACGAGCATCTTTACACAGGTGTAGCAGCCGTTAAGCGTTATCATTGCGAGAGCCTACACAGTATTGGCCGCTCAGATGCAGTTAGTCAGTGCGCAGTTTTCTTACTTTAGCGTTCAGATTTCAAGCCACAACTACACTTTCTGTAATTCTGCTGCCACAAAGGAGCTCGTTCAATTGGCGATAGAAATTACCTTTTGTCGAATCAGTGCTGCAGTTTCCGGGGGCATATGCGACAATGACAAACTAGTACCGTTTGTCTCCACGCACCTTTGAAGCTTTGAACGAGTCAACCAATCTGAGAGTGTACATCCTGCTGTTGACCAGGATCCAGCCGATCGGAGCTACTTCACCCCGGGGACTTAAAGCACTGCTCACACCGGAGGGCAAAGTGAATTTGGAATGGGGCGATAAGGAGGAGAAAGTTTAAGAGAGATAGGAAGAAACCTGACCGCAGTGCACCTGTATTTTGGCATTGGGCTACAGCAAGTCCGTCTTGTGGAGCAAACAGCCACCCTGACTCCGATCCCAATCGGCTGATTCAGAAGACTGTGTTAGTCTGGCTTCTAACCATTGACCGATTTCATAAGAGGCTCTGCAAGTGCAAACAACACCAGCCAGGATAGCTCAATGGATCGCTGAAGCACGCAAACCATCACACCACGATGTGGTATTAACACATGATCTAGTGGGCTACATTTCGACTTATTTCGAAATACAACTATTCAATTTCGGTTTTAAAAGACAAGGAAACTATTAAGTTAGATCACAGGATATCTGGCATATGTTTATGGAGTTGTTAGGTGGTCGTCCACATCAACCCCCAAGCATTAACTACCCAAAACTTTTATGGTAAAGAGAGAGAAAGATTTCATCACCAACATTGTGTTGATTGTGCTTCGGAATATATAATGTAAAAAAATCCACGAGCGTGCTATGCTCATCGGGCGTATGCACTAACCGACGCGAAGGTAGACGTATGCAATGAAACTCGAACGGAAGCACGTGAATTCAGAACCATGTTGACGCTCTTGCTTGAGGCTGAGTCCCCAAAAGGCGATTTTGTCTTATTTTAGAGTACCGAAGGCCCGTTCTTAGGAAGAAGTCTACATGAATGAGTGCGTCAATAATACTTTTAAATAATCCTGAACTCGACTATGTCGAGTTGAGTAATGTCCTGTATGTGAAGTCAAGACAAACTTTATGCACCCAGATGAGTGCATGTGCAGTATTTTACACTAGCTACCACAAATATGATAAAACAGCATCAGTAAATAGGAGAATTTTACGACTTTAAATACAATGGGTAAAGAGTGCACATATGTCGCATATTTGAGCAAAGACCGCATATTGGTACAGCGAGGTATGAGATTCTTCATCCAGTTGACGAGGCCAACTTCTGTTACAATGTGTACTGGTAGCTTCTTTCGTTTGGATAAAATCAACAAACTGCTAGTTATGCGCAGTGTCTCGGCTACTTTTTCAAAGGATTAAAGGACTGGATCGGCCTTGAAATTGCTCAGCCAAAGAATTCGCCAAAATATTCATACACAGTTGATACGTTTGTAGTAGAGTAAAAAACGATGTTTCGGGGGGGGGGGGGGGAGAGAACGGCAACGGCCAATTCAAAGGCCGTTTAGAGTACGATATGATAGCCTGTCCCTTGGTTGTTCATTACATCTGCGTTGTCAAATAAACAGATCTGTGGATAGCAGTTCAGCAAAGTTGTTTATGAACATCAATAGCAGGTGCGATCTTAAGCCCATGTTCGAACTGTGTCGAATCGAATTTGGATCAGCATTTCAAGGTGCAGTTCAAGGAAAAGTAACCAAACCAAATCGATTATCAATGCCACATCTGTGGAGATTTTAGAAAGGAACACGGTGATTTAGACTTCGATAGCCAGAATACCTAGCACTGACGAACTCTCACCACCGATCGTTGTGGTCGATCCTCGAAGTACTATCAGCGGGCGAGTAAACACCGTGCTTTGGGGTACGCGGGTACATAGTATAAGATTTCGGTTATGAAATAAAGCAGAAATGGAATGACTGTCTATCAAAACATGACATTTTCAGAAAGCAGTGGTATCGAAATCCCTTCTGTGGAGTAAAATACTAGATCACTCACGTATATAACTTCGCTCATATCGTAAGCGCTGGTAGGTTCAAGAGGAACGACGGTATCCAACGCTGGGACCATGCGATTTACTGGATCGTGACATTCACGAATCGGGGAGATTGGCTCCCTATTCGATGATGGTAGGTAGGCTAGAAAGTCACGAGTGTTCACGATGGCATCAACATCATTGGAATACGCTCGATGGGCTACACCAGATAAGGAACAGTGGGTTTTGGATCCTCCAAGCTCTTCCTGCAAACATCCAAAAAATAGAATGATATTGAAACCTAACGTGGGGGCTAGGTGACAAAGGGTAGACTTGGTGCCTTGGATGCATAGAACGTATGAGCTTCCACCACAAACATAACAGGACTCATAATTGTTCTCAGAGTACTTGACTTCAAAAGGATTTAAGGCATTATTCGTCAAGACAGCAAAAACTGTGCTACATGCGCCGCGTGCTTCCTATGCAACCGATCGCACACATTACGTTGTGTTTTCCACTGATACTCCAAGCAGGTGAACCGAGCCCCGGTGTGATCAATCGATAAAATGCTAAAATATATGGGACAGCTTCTGGTTGCAAGGTTACGTGCATCTTCACTATTCCTGGGGTTTGATCGGTTACACGTGCGTTCCAGACACAGAACGGCAGATACATCAACAGTGAGTTGCACCCAGCCTCTTGAGGCTGTTTGCCGGTGACCCTTCATAAGTGACGTTTCATGACGCCACTGTTTATGACCAGGGATTGAATGCTTGCTCGCCTATTTTTCCCCATTTTCAATCCAACGTTTGTCAACTTTCGTTAAGCTAGATATACCGCACGTTGGCACGCGGATCAATTTTTATTAATTTATGATGTGCTGATGGCGAAAAACAGCAGTATGCTCCGTCAAACATTGGCAGAATCCGGAGCACAAACAGACCAAAAACCACAAAAGCACTCGAAACCTTCAAATTGAAGAAGTTTGCTTTGAATGCGAGTCATCTCTGGACAAGGGCAATAGGAAAATGCCGTCAGTATCGCCTGTGGGGGTCGAAGGTTAAGCACGACATCGAATCTTGCAGATGGGCTTCCGAAAGGCACCCGTAAGGAATCAGTACATAGCTTGTTGTGTCAGGTGAAACTAAATACTCATACAAAATGTTTTGTAAAGAATACTATCTAACTTGGGTAACATCCTCGTTTGTCACGGCTTTGACTACGTCTGGCCCAGTGATGAACATATACGATGTGTCCTGAACCATGAAAATAAAATCGGTCAGTGCGGGTGAGTACACAGCGCCACCAGCACAAGGTCCCATTATGAGCGAAATCTGCGGAATCACACCGGACGCATCCACGTTGCGTTGGAAAATGTCCGCGTAGCCCGCCAGGGAAGCCACGCCTTCTTGGATTCGGGCACCACCAGAATCGTTCATACCAACGATAGGAGCGCCAGTTAGCATGGCTTGATCCATTACTTTGCAAATTTTACGCGAATGAACCGCACTCAGGCTACCACCGAAGACAGTAAAGTCTTGACTGAAACATAAGAGAGCATGTGACAGGAAGCGATGAGAACTGAACGCACGAGGTAATCAAAAAACTTTGGAACTGAACGGATGAAGCACTTGCAACAGAGGTGGTGGAACAAAGAGGGATACACAAACCGCTGATCTGTGGAAAGAGGGGGAAATGTGCACATAATTAGACGAAAAAGCTCCTTTGAGCTACGCTGAGAAAACGCAACTTGAACTTAATGCAAGTTTCCTGTGGAACTAACAATGAGAATAATCTTATGTTTAGTACAGGACATTCAGAACATCAGTAGTACAAATAATTCCTGCAATCTGCCATACCTAATCCCTATCTGCCGTTCACTAAGCGGCTGGCGATAAAAAATTGAATTGGCAAACTCCTTAAAATCCAACACTTGATGGGCAAATAATATATTCGCAGCTAACAACACACGTGGGTGATACAGCTACTCAATAGACAACTTTCTTACACAATTCGATTGCTAGTCGATTGTATACATACGGTACAGCGGACCCCGCTTTCCGACAAACCCCCTTTTGACAAGAATACTCGCACTCATTTTTATTCGGCAGGATTTTGCTTAATGAATCTCTACTCAGTTCATTCTCGATATGGAAGGCTTCTTTTGCTCAACCTCCTAATGGGGAACTCTGACTCTTTTACATGCATTTCATTACTGGTCGATTGTACACTACTCGTTCTTTTTTCACTTCTAAATACTCTCCAAACCCCTGGCACTCGCCTGCTAGATGAGTTGCTGCATTGACCTTCGCCTTATCATTCCATAACTTCTTGTAGGGTATAACGAATACAGCGCAATGCCTGATCTGGTATCCGCACTCGATTACGCGCCCGATCTCGGATTAGTATTTACTAGCCCTATAAGTTGGTGACCACAGATCGCAAGCGTGAATTTGGAATCATTACTCGTATATTTTTGGTCAGTTCGTCCCTTTTTCTTGATTTTTCAGGCACAATTATTAGTTGTTTCACTTCCATAGATTTATGGTGCTTTGCTTGTTTTTAATCTTTCTTGTGCATAACTCGCACGTAACACATCACCCGTCTCACAGCGTAAGCATGCTAACGTGTGCTCTTCTTGATCCATTGAACACGGTCCCGATTTCTGATTTGCTCTCTTCGAGATCGATCTAGGAAATTAGGGGCATTCGGACTGACCAATCAAGGTACAATCAGCTCGTCCCACGCCTTCTTTTATCGGTAGTGGCGATGCTTCAGGATACTTCGATTTGCTCACTGAACGAGGAAAAATAAGAAACGATGAAGTAGGCGGTATTAGAAAGGTCACGCCTTAGCGCACGGGCTGGATCGCAGCAGTCCATTGGTCTCAAGCTGCATAAACGCCGGCAGTCGACTGTGCTCCACGAAATTCGGCGCGTTGCTGGGCGGAGACTGGATAAATAAGCTTTGGCTTGCACGTCACCTAGAGCAGTTGTCGGTGATACTGCCATGTTTCTAAACCATCACTTGGAAGAATTAACCAGCCCCACGGACGCTGCGTTTGAACGTCTTCCGCAGCATACAACCAGTAGCTTCGGTGACGTATTCGCAGCGATTAAAAATGAGTGCCACGCTTGCTCCGAGCCGTCAAATCGAGTTGACATTTGAGATGAGAAAATTGCGCTACTTCGTATTAGTCTAACAGGATGACGGCTTTGAAGCAGGCTACGCAAAGGTCGGATGCTGACAACGTTTTGGCTACCATTCATTGCAACTCGTCTATGCCTGTGCCAAGTATGTCTCGTGCGACACAGAAGCGCAGTATCTTCTCAACACGTTCTCAGCCTGGCAGTACCGAACCCGTCAACGAATTGTGTTGAGATCACCGTCAATATGGTGGAAAAGCTAGACGTTACCGGACTTCTTGCGTTAGGCACGAATCAGCCGCCATAGGAAAACCGAATAACTCGCACGCTAGCACAAACGACACGTCCAGCATTAGCGGGTCAGGTCAGGTAGAACGGACGATAGTGGCCTTCGACTAACGAGCGTCCAGTTTCTTGTGCCGGTAAGTGAAGCGGTCCCCAGCACCTCGACGTTGGATTGACTTTTTGCTTCTGCAAAAGAATGAAGCACATCGGATCGTATTTTTTAAACTAAATTTGACATTCTTACCTCAATTTCCTTATCGACACGAGAGCGGATGTGAGCGTGCATTTCGTGCAGGATGAGCTAGTGAACCGCACCATTATATCACGCACCAGGCTCCGATAGCTGGGCCACGTGTTGCGCATACCAGCACATTGACTCCTGCGTTGTGCGTTGTTTGCGCTACCGAGGTGTAAATGGAAGAAGAGGAGGGGTGACCAAGCGATGACTTGCTAAAGACGTATAGAGGTCCTTACTTCGAAATTGGCGTCGGTCGGTGTATCCCGACTGCCAGGCTGGGGTCTGAAGTACAATGAACACGTCTGGTTGGATACACTATTTGATATGACGAAAGGCCGACCCCAATGGCGTTTGTGTTCTGAGGTTATTGGCCACTCATAATTGCATGTAGCTTATCTCTCCAACAATGATCCCATCCCCAATGATGATATTTAGCATCACATTACCTGGAATTTTAGTTGTTGTGGTCCGTATCGTTTAATATCCTATCAGATTTTGTTCTGCTCTCTGAGCTAAACAGTTTGTTGCAAACATTTCATCACCAATCGAGATGACTTCTTTAGTGCGTAGTAAACAAACTGAGTGTTTTGTCAGCTCTTACCGACGAGCGAGTGACATTTGAACTTGGCCACTTCGATTCACTTCCCGTGACCATTGCAGCTGATGGTATACCGGACAAAAGAATTTACGTGGGTCATTCAGCACATGAGTCGAAAAGAGGCGGCGCCCGAACTGCGAACTAGCAATGGTCACGAGACGTGAATCGAAAATGGCTAAGTTCAAATGCCACTCACTCGTCAGTAAGAGTCAACAAACCAATCAGTTTGCTTACTGCGCACTGAAGAAATCACCTCAATTGGTGATGAAACGTTTGCAACGAAACTGTTCAGCTCGGAGAACAGAACAAAATCTGAACAAACATCCCGAGCTACTGGTATTCCGATTTATTTAATATCTTATCTTCTTTGTATTGTTTCATGTTTAGCTAACGTGTATTGATGACGATGGACATGAACATCATCCCCGCGAACGCAAACGATAAGCATTCACAGTCCATGTACTACCTGCATGCGACCAACGGTTTGCGGATATCTTCATAAGGTCAGTGCACAATGAAACTGGACCGAAATCTCCGCGAAGATGTTCAGTGGATTCTCACGGTTGCGTTTATACTTTTTGAAATTATCGGTATCGATTTCCTCCGGCATTTCGGAAAGCTTGCTGATGCTGGTCGCCACGGACTTTTAGACGACCTTACTAATTTAGGGGTTGAGGGCGTTCCGATTATCAGTGCCGTTTTCCAAAACATCTACACACCTTCAGACTATGGGAGACTGCTCTCCGGATAACTGCGATTGGTACGACCAAATGCAGGTCCTCCACCAGTCAGGACAGAGGTCACCATCACATGGCCACCCGTGGCTGGCCAGTGAGTGCCAGACTGAGACGAATCGACACAGACAAGCTACGTGCTGAATTCGATGACATGTTCCACTCGGTTTCATCAGGCCATCCAACAGTCCATTGCTCCGAAGAAGATCACTGGAGACTGACGTCCTTGTGGCGACTGTCGTGCAATGAAAACTGGTACCCAACCCGATCCCACATATCGTGGATATCAGGCGTATGGGCCGCTGGGCCGAGAACTTCCACTCGCAGTTCAACTAGCCTCCACCATTCATCAGTACATGCAGTACACCTTGTTGTCAACCCTGGCTCGTCCCACTGAATCCACCCAGCGAAGCGGAAGTCTGCCTCGAGATTCGACGCTTGAAGCACTTCAAGGCTGCCGGCTTAGACGGACTTCCTCCGGAGCTATTCAAGTACGGCGGTGTGGCGATCAATAACCAGCTGACCGCGCTGTTCGCAAAAATTTGGCATAAAGAGAGAAAATGCCTTCCTCTTGGGGCGAATCAGTTATTGTCCCGATTTTCAAGAAATGCGCACGCAATTCATGTGCAAACCATCGCGGGATTAGTCTTATTTCGATTGCCTGCAAGCTATTGGCATCCATTCTGCTTCGCAGACTATCCCCAGTACGTGAATCATACTACCGTGAGGAACAATCTGGTTTCCGTCCTGGCCGCGGATGCGTGGATCAAATCTTCACGCTCCACCAGCTCCTCGAACATCGCCACATTTATCACAGGTCCACTAATGTTGCATTCCTAGACATACGTGCCGCTTTTCACTCCGTTGATCGACCTGCTTTATGGCGTTGTTTGCTAAAGAAGGGGGTGTCAGAGAAATATACCGCCATCTTACGTGCACTTTACCTTCATACATCCGGCAGAATGAGGGTCTATGACAAGCTTTCCTCGCAATTCGCTGTCAATAGCAGTGTGTGGCAGGGCTGCCCTATGTCCACATCCATCTTCAACTCCGCAATCGAAGACGTTCTGTCGAATGCTGTAGAAGGTTTCCAACATTTTGGCCTAGAGCTTCTACCGGGTGAGCGCGCGACCGACTTAGATTATGCTGATGATATCGCCTTATTTGGTGACGATCCTCAGGGTATGCAATTCATTCTGGATCGTTTGGCGGTTGAAGCATCTAAGTATGGCATGAGCTTCGCTCCATCGAAGTGTAAAGTACTGCTCAAGGATTGGGTTTCACCTGCTCCCGTGCTCACCTTCGGAGGCGCACAACTTGAACAGGTAGATAGTTTCGTCTACCTCGGGAGCTGTGTTTCTGCTGACGGCACTATCAGCAAATAAGTTTCTCTTCGTATCGCTAAAGCTCGATCAGCATTTGTCAATCTGAGGCACTTGTGGCGGCGTCGCGACGTCTCATTCTCACTAAAGGGCCACGTTTACAGCGCATCAGTTCGCTCAGTATTGTTGTATGGGTGCGAGTCCTGGCCGATTTGCGTGGAAGACATGCGTCGTCTTTCTGCCTTCGATGCCGGTTGCTTAAGAAGGATTGTTCGTGTTTGGTGGCAACATCGAGTTAATAATAATGACGCTCGACGTCACATCTTGGGGAATGCGAGTATTCCCTTCAATAAACAGGTTTTGTTGCGCCAGTTAAGATGGCTCGGTCACGTCCTACGCATGGCATCTGAGCGTCTGCCGCGTCGCCCTCTATTCGCTCATCAAGGACCTGGCTGGAAGCGACCGCGTGGTGGTCAGCCTTCCACTTGGCGGCAGCAGATAAAATCGCTGACGTCGTCTAGCCACTGTTGGATCCGTACGTCTTCTAGGATGGGGACCCAAAGATGAAGTGTCAATGGCTTAGCACTCTTGAAGATATGGCCCGCAATCGGAATCCGTGGAATTGTGTACAGTATTGTAATGATTCACATGTTTAATATTACAAACATTGAAAATGACAAGAAAGTGAAAAATCGGCGAGTGAAAAACAAACTAAAAATGTTTTGTCCTACTTTTGTCAAAATGTTCCATTCTTTCTGCGGCATATTAGCTGAAGTGTGTTGCTCAGCTTCAACTACCGTGACACGATGATTATGACGCAGTGACTTCCCCTTATCTGCTAATCTCCATGCCTTTGTTGGCTCTGTTTAGTTGCTAGGCTGTTGAGATTACATACATACATACATCGTGGATTTCATAGCTAGTCTGGAAAATAAGACAGTCTTTATTAAGAACAATTTGGTTCGCACATACAACCTAATTCCGGACGTCGATAAAACTTCCGTGACTGTCCGATTCGGTTTGCTCGAGTTCCTGCGCATGCCATTTGATCTTAAGAATGCCGCACAAATGCTTCAGCGCTTTATCGACAAAGTTTGCCGCAGCTTAGACTTCGCCTATGTATGTAGGTATGCCCCTCACGCAAGGGGATTTGCGCCAGGTGCTGACACCTTTTGAGTGTTTTTCTAACATGGGATGACGATTAATGCAAAAAACTGTGTGTTTGGTAACGATTCAGTCAGTCTTTTGACCATCATATCTCTCGCAGGTGTTTTGCTATTACAAGATATGATTAAAGCCATCCTCGAATACCCCGATCCTCATTATTTTAAACAGCGAAGACGTTTTGACGAACTCGTCAACATGTACCGCCCCTTCGTACCTAAATTGTGCATCACTTATGCAGCCCCTCACGGACCTTTTCCGAGAGAAATACAAGAAATTCGATTTTCCTGATACTGCACGCACCGCGTTCAAATCTTTAAAAGAAGCCATAATTAGCATAGGTTCTGTAGTGCACCATGAACCGGCAGTCCGTGTCGCTTATTGCCGACGCTTCTAACGTGGAAGTTGGCACTGTCTTGCAACAACAGCTAGGTGAGACTTGGCAACCGTTGCCGTTTTCCTCTTGATGCCCGCAACCTGCAGTCTCCCTACGGCACATTTGGTGGAGAACCATTCGCCATTTACGTAGCAATACGTCACTTTCGGCATTTCTTGGAGGGCCGCATGTTTGCGGTTTTTTCAGATGAGAAACCATTAAATTACATGCTTGACCGGACAACCAACCGATATTCTGCTAGGAAGTTACGTTACTTAGACTATATAGCTCAGTTTACGACCAATGTACGACAAGTCTCAGATGTAGCCAACGCCATCAGCGACGCACTCTCTAGTTCGAACGATCTCTGCCGCCATTACCATCAACCTGGTAACCATAGTCGTAGAAGAACTTAGCGATACGTAGATCTATTACGCAAGTCTTCCTCACTGGAAATAAGACCCGTTCCGTTGACATCATCCGACGGAACCATTCTCCGCAACACATCACTGGGCATGTCGCGCCCAGCTGTACCACGTAAATCTCAGATCGTGTTCGACGATCCGTATGGTTTGTCTCACCCAGGCGTTCGTGCACCGGTTAAACTAATAACCGCACGATTCATTTGCTGTGACGTTCATAACAGGGTCGTTGCTTACCTACAATGTTAGTGTGTGAAGGTGAACATGCACAAACAAGTCCATTAAACACATTTCTAACGCGGACGCACATTTTCACCACGAACACGTAGAACTCGTATGTCCTCTTCCACCTTCTAGACACTCGATATACCTACTAACTTGTATCGACCGATTCATTAGGTTGTTGAAGACTATTCCAAATTCGAAATGATCTTCGAAAACGGTAAAAAAAGCATTTTTAGAACGCTAGGTAACGTAATATGACTGTCCATCCATCGTGATCACCAACTGATGGTCATGTTTCTCGTCCACTTTCACTACGTTGCTTGAGGATTTAGGTTACCGCTACATCTACATGATGGCGTATCATCCGGTTGCACACAGACTCTTTATGGTGCAAAACCCTTCCCGTCGCCTTTCTATGATTGAGCATCACTGTCGAAATCGACTTCGACTCGACACCGGCGTAGCCAGTCTACGGCTGAACGTTGCGTTTGCCTGGACACCTGGTAGCACCAGCATCGAACACTTCCTCTTTCGACTATGGCAGTTATACTGGTCAATCATCCCAAGGGATGAGTGAGCCACGTCCGCCCTCTCCTCTGTTACAAAAGACATCGGTGTGAGTGCTCGAAAGACAGTCTAAATGTTCGCATGTATCGTTTTAGGTGGACGGTGTTCGACAGCCTACGCACTCTTTGTACTCCGGGCTCCTCAGATTAGTTAAACGTACAAAAAGACAATCTCAATCGACCGCGATGGCCGACACGAACTTCTCATTATCGGCTGCCTAAAACCAGCTTTCATGGAGGTAACCATGTCTCCTCCATTGTTTTGTCCTGTTCCATAAAATGTTACGGGTAACTGTGCCACGTTTTAGTCGCGTAACATTACGGAATCAGACGCCAGTCCCGCTTCACAAGCTACAGCAGTCCCGACATCATCATTCACACTTAACTTATCGCCTTCCGGGACCAACCATCTTACTCGGAAGATTCGTAAACCTGTCTTTCTCCTGATGTGTACTGTCTAAATATGACTAGATTTGTAAATATCGTGTATATTTCCCCGTTTTTGGCCAAATATCGTTTTGAAAACCAAGACAATCCAGACCTACCAAAACCAGCAAAGAAGTAAAAAAAAACAAAAATCTAAACGATATTGAACGCAGTCCATTTGCAAGTTTTTTCCAATTTCCAGCGTGCGTTTTTTGTCCCTGCATTCCTCTATCTTGTCCGAGTGATCGACCCTCAAGAGCTACACGTTTGACGATCACCAAAATTAACAGGGACCCAAAGGCAAAGGCTGGAGATTCTTCGTCAAATGAGGGCCATTTTGGTGCGGGGCGAGGGGAGAGGCCACTCCCACGCGCACCGTCTGATAGCAGCGGAGGGTGAGGTCTTATCGGCCATTTTCTGGACTAGCCAGTTTTCTTCTTAGTCCGACAAACCTGCTCCAAGGGTTCACTGTTGTGCATCCCGTCCTGCAATTAGTTAAATAATAAAATACAAACGGCACAGAGGACCCCGATTTTCGACGAACCCCCTTTTGACACGAACATTCGCACTCATTCTCATTCGGCAGTGTTTTGCTTTATGAATCTCTGCTCAGTTCATTTTCGATATCGAAGGCTTCTTTTGCTCAGTCCTATAATGGCTCAAAAGATATATCTTATGGTTCTTATTACCGATCGATTGTATACTATTTATTCTTGATTCACTGCTCGCTATCCTCCTTCCATATGCGCTAGCACTCGTCTGCTGCGAAGAGCAAAGTGTTCGCAGTGACCGAATTCGTTAAAGCATGGAAAAGATATTTTTACTTGTCTACTTCGCTATGCTAAGAAACACGTGAAAAGTGAAGGACAAAGTATAAGCAGTGTGTCAACTTCGAACAATGAACACGACCGATAAGATTAACGCACCTGTAGAGGTAGACTGTTTTACCGTTCACTTTGCAGTGTCCTGTGACGACACTATCGCAAGGGAACCTTTGTTTTTCCATATCAAAATCATGACAGTCATGCTCCATGAATGCATCGAATTCAACAAATGTTCCGGGATCGGCCAATAGTTCGATCCGCTCCCTTGCTGTCAGCTTCCCTCGCTTATGCTGGGCATCGACACGCTTTTGGCCCCCACCAAGTTGAATTTTCTCACGAGTTTGAACTATCTTTCTGCGAACCTCCAGAGTGTTTGCAGTCCCAGTAATTAACCGATTTACATTGGAGAAAACGATGGGAAGACGCTTGGTGCAAGTGGAGAGTAAAGGAAACATCTGAAACAAAAATAGACAAATAAGCAAGCTTAGAAAATTCACCGGTGACAAGTTTTAAGACCACGGTTTATTTCGAGGTTAAGATGGCATCCGAAGCGGCGGAACTATTGGAGATGCATACTCCTCCTAAGTTTTAACACAAGAACCGAATTTCCCTTGCTCTGTCTCTTCAAATACTGATAATCCGGGTATGGATCCAACCCACCCCATCGTGGATGTCGTCCAAAGATCATGTCCAGCAAGCTACCAGGTATGTAAAAGTTCTATTGACAACGGTCATTTGTGGACGCAATTCCTTAAGGGTCTATATAGATACCGTGTAAAGAAGGAGAGCAAGTTGTAAAGTGGCCCTCCGTTCATGAAAAAGTCCAAGTCTGGGCCTCGATCAGAAATTCATTATTCATAGAACGCAACTCATTTTATATCTCGAGTCAATTAGAATCACTCACAGATGCAGAACAAATCTCCTTTCTATTACATTCTCAGCCAGCGTTCGAGTTTCGTTCAATGTCGATCCAAATCGATTGCATGCTAACCTTCAGTTCGCCGCTGCAGCGATCGACCCGCTTCCAGACTGTTGGCCCAAAATCGTTAAGCTCGACCGATCGCTATGCAACGGGCATCTGAATGTAGTGTCTTACCATCACATCCTTCCTTTTTTCGTTTTTTTGTAGTCCGATTGCGTAAGCGCTGTATCGCCTTCCACTGCGTGTAGTCTTGTGGTCGTGTGCTGCTGTATCCACCGAAATGTCCGGCTGCGTTGGCTGCTTCGCACGATGCCGTGCTTGTTCACCACGTTGTCTCCTTAACTGCACCCGGTTGCGTCGAAATAGACTATCCCCAACTCTTACGTCGTAGCTTCGTTCGCCTTTGAGACCTTCTACTCGCCCTCTCCTCCAAGACCCGTTAGCTCCCGGTGTCGGCGCGACCCAGACCTCGTCTCCGGGCAACAGGCGTGGAAGCTGCTTCGTTCCGCGATCGTAATATTTCTTTTGTCGAAGCATGCGCTCACGCAAGCGCTCATACATCAAGCTCTGCGATGGTATTTCAGGCTGCAGCAGAGTATTGGCGATCGGCAACAGGGTTCTTGTCCTACGGCCAAACAGACGTTGCGCTGGACTGCATCCAATTTCGGCAGATGGCATGTTCCTTCGTTCTAACAACATGATGTAAGGATCTTCTTTGGTCTCCTTGGCTTTGGTGAGTAACTTCTTTGCTTCCTTCACGGCTGACTCAGCTTTTCCATTTGACTGACTGTGGTAAGGGCTGGTTAAACGATGAAGGAAATCCCACTTTTCGCTGAAACTCCGAAATTCGGCGCTGTTGAATTGGGGGCCATTGTCGGACACTACCTCTTCCGGTATCCCATGTCGCGCAAACTGCGATCGTAGCTTGTTTATCACGGCCTGTGTGCTAGTAGACGTGAGAGCATCAATCTCGAAATAGTCGCTAAAGTAATCGACAGCGATCAGGTAATTCCTTCCGTCATGTGCAAAGATGTCTAGGGCGACTTTCTGCCACGGCCTTTCCGGGACCTCACGAAGCATCATAGGCTCCTTCGGCTGGCGGACATCATGTGCTCGACAGGCTAAGCAGTTTGAAACGTGATCCCGTATCTGACTAGTCATTCCAGGCCAAAACATTAGCTCTCGAGCTCTCGCCACGCAAGCATTGACTCCTGAATGACTTCCGTGTATCAGCTCCAGCATGGGTCGTTGCATTGCCTTTGGAACGAGTATACGGTTGCCTTTGAAGATTAGCCCATCCTGTGTGACAAGTTCATCCCGAAAGTTAAAGAAGGGAGTCAACTCCTTTGGCAGCTTGTTTTTACTATCGGGCCACCCTTTCAGTATCGTTTCCTTGAGCCGATTACACAGCTCGTCTGCTTCCGTGTGGCGTAGTAGTTGCTGGAAACGCTCCTCTGTGACGGCCAATAGCTGAGTGACATGGACAATGTCTTGGTCTTCTTGCGTTGCGGTCACATCGGAAAGATATGCCCTAGACAGTGTGTCTGCAATGTACATCCTCGACCCCGGTTGGTAGACGATGTCCAGGTCGTACTTCTGGAGCCGAATGAGCATTCGTTGTAAGCGGCGTGGGACGACGTGCAGTGGTTTATTGGCTATTGATACCAGAGGCTTGTGATCGGTAAATACAGTGGTCCGGCGACCAAAAGTGTAATCGTTGAAACGCTCTACGGCATAAACCAATGCTAGCATCTCCTTTTCAATCTGTGCATAACGGCGCTCGGATTCTGTTAGTGTCCGACTGCGAAAATCGATGGGCTTCCCGTTCTGCATTAGCACGGCACCGATACCGAATTGGCTGCTGTCACACTGGATCTCAAGGGGAAGTGACGGATCGTAATACGCTAGGACAGGGGCGCACGCGATCAGTTGTTTGATGTTCTGGAAAGCCTCCTCCTGTTCTGTGTTCCACTGCCAGCTCTCGCCCTTATGTGTAAGTTTTCGGATAGGAACCATTACTTCGGCTAGTCGTGGAAGGAAGCGGCTGAGGTAATTCACCATCCCGTTTAGTCTGCTCACGGCTTTAACATCTGTCGGAGGTGGCATCTCTTTTATGGCTCTAACTTTCTCCGGATCTGGCTTTAGACCTTCTGCGCTCAAAACATGTCCGTGGAACACCAGCTCTGTTTTTCGTAACTCAATTTTCTCACGTTTCAATCTGATATTCTTGTCTTTACAGCGTTCTAGAAATCTGCTCAGGTTACGGTCGTGCTCTTCCAGAGTCGCCCCAAAAACCACTACATCGTCTGCTACACAAATAGCTCCGGGTAGATCGTCTAGGGCCTGCATTAATCGTTTCTGAAAAATTTCACTGGACACTTTCAAACCGAATGGTAAGCGCAACCACCGAAACCGTCCAAATGGCGTTCCGAACGTGGTTAAATAACTGGACTCTTCGTCAAGCTGGACGTGCCAGAAAGCGGAAGCGAGGTCGACCTTCGTGAACAATCTGGCCTTGGACAACTCGGGTAAGACGTCATCTGGCGTTGGTAGTGTAAAATACTCTCTCCTGAGTGCGGCGTTGAGCGGCTTAGGGTCGATGCACACACGCAAATCGCCTGACTTCTTGGTGATTATCGCGACTTGACTGACCCAATCGGTTGGCTCATCGACCTTGGCAATCACACCTAAACTGATCAAACGCTGCAACTCGTCTAAGAACTTCTCACGCAAAGCGATAGGTACTTTTCTCGCTTGTAGTGCTACTGGTCTGGCGGACTCGTTTAACGACAGGTGAGCTACGCCTTGGAATTTTCCCACGGTACCATCAAACACACTGGGATAGTTGTCTACGATCTCTGTACCGACTTCGCACGAGTGAACAAAACGATCATGATTAAAAGAAACAAAACCCAAACTCTGAATGGAATCAAGGCCCAGGATGGGCATTAAATCTCCTGATACCAGGAGAAAATCAAGTAAATGCTCGGAGCCATCCTTCGGGTTTATGGCCTTCATGGTAACGCAGCCCTTCGGTTGTAACTTTGATCCGTTCCACATTCTGAGCTGTGTCTGTATTTGACGGTATTCTGCATCGGGACAGTATTTGTGAGGAAGTATGTTCACGCTTGCTCCTGAATCCAATTGGAATCGCACCGGACGCCCTTGAATAAGCAACGTTGCGAATACACAGACTGGTCTCTCACGTCCTGTCATGTTGTTAATAGCCAGTTCCTGCGGCTCTTCCTGATCGTCCTGCCCGACTGAGTCGACTTTGGTTGCCTGACAACAACGTGCAAAGTGGTTCTTCTTCGCACACTTCATACAGGTTCGGCCCCATGCTGGACAATCCTCTTTGCGCCTTGGGTGTGAGCGGCCGCAAAACTGGCATTTGGGTTGATTCGCGCTCGATGACTTCGATACAATTTCTCGGCCTCGGGATACTGCAAACAGATCCGTCGTGGAGTCCATCTTGAGCTGCTGAAACTGTTGAGCCGTCCTTGATTCGCTAAAACAGATATCGATGCAATGTTCCAAAGACAGGTTTCGCTGTCGCAAAAGGCGTCTGGAAAGTTCCTCATTCTTTATGCCAATTATAATTCGATCGCGGATCAGCGAATCTCGTAAACAGGTGCAAAAATTGCAATCCCGCGCCAGAATTTTCAGCTCCGTGATGTATGCGTCGATTGATTCACCCGGCAGGCGATTTCGGCTGAAAAACAGATACCTTTGGTAAGTTTCGTTTGTGTAACCTTCGCAAAACTCGCCGAATCTGCGTATTACTTCATCCAGCTCCATCTCCTGAGTTCCATCGCTGAGATCCAACGTTTGCAGCGTCCGCCTGGCTTCGTCTCCAATGGCATGCCTGAACATCGCCAGTTGATAGGCCATTGGCTGAGAATCCAACTGAGTCAGTGTTACAAAGTCTAGCCACTTCGCCTTCCATATTCTCCAATTTTCCGGCAACGAACTCTCGGTCATTTGCAACGGAGCTGGCAGCGGAATCGTTGGTTGTCCACCAAACGCATGCGGGGTTCGGCGTGTCTTCTTGTCCTCTGTCGCCATGTAAAGTGGCCCTCCGTTCATGAAAAAGTCCAAGTCTGGGCCTCGATCAGAAATTCATTATTCATAGAACGCAACTCATTTTATATCTCGAGTCAATTAGAATCACTCACAGATGCAGAACAAATCTCCTTTCTATTACATTCTCAGCCAGCGTTCGAGTTTCGTTCAATGTCGATCCAAATCGATTGCATGCTAACCTTCAGTTCGCCGCTGCAGCGATCGACCCGCTTCCAGACTGTTGGCCCAAAATCGTTAAGCTCGACCGATCGCTATGCAACGGGCATCTGAATGTAGTGTCTTACCATCACACAAGTTGATCTCCATCACTGGCTAAGCTACCCTGAATACCAGCAAGCGCACAGTTTGGCTTTCAAGGTGTCCATATAATGCTGCTCTGCGTCGTCCTAGCAACTCAATTCGCAACGAAAGGCATTACGAAAGTGATAATTTGGGATACTTTTCCAAATGT